CTAGGTTCAGGTCCTCCTGTTGCTCCAGGATGTCTTCGAGGTCGTCCAGGCTGCGAATCTTCTGGTTAGCCAGGATGGCCTTCAGCTGGGAGTCCCGGAGATTCTTCAGGAAACGCTTGACATGTTGCTTGCGCTCCTTCTTGGACTTCCGGTACTTGATCCCCGCCTTGACCGCAGCCTCGCTCAGCCTGTAGAAGAACTCCATCGGGGTCTCAGACGTCTTCTGTCGCATGGTATAATACCGTTCAGACTCCGACGTCCGGAGCTTCAGGTACTTGCGACGGAACTCCTGGACGAAGCGCTTCCGATTGCTCTGGACGTGCTTCTCCAGTTGGCCGCGCCAATTCCGGGCGGCAGGTGACAACTTCATCTTGAGCTCTCGAACCTTGGTCTGGTCGGACCAACCAGCCTGGACGGAGATGTTGGTGAACTTCTCCCACCAGGTACGTCGATCTCCAAGCGGGGCTTTCTCGTCGAACTGACCCAGCGTGTTGGAATTGACATACGGGCGGAACGTCCAGGAGGTTTTGCCATCCCCAACCGTAGTTGACTCCACGGTCGGTGTAGCGGCCTCGTCGTCCAGGCTGTCGTCCGAGCTGGAGCTATCATCATCCGAGCTCGAGGAACTGGAGCTTGAATCCGGGGACGAGTCGCGATCCCGGCGACGCCCCTTGCGTGGCGCCTTCTTGCGCTCGTCCTTCCTGCGTTCGTCCTTCCTGGGCGGTTCCTGCTTTGGCTCCTTTGGCTCCTTCTTCACCGCCGTCTTGGTCCCCGGACGGGAGGTCCCCGTCGGGGCAACATGCGCCGCCGTCGTATATCGGTGTGCCGCATTAAGTGCGGCCGGCTCATTCTTCACCACGGTCGGCTTCAGAGTCCTTGCTAGACGCGCGACGTCGACTTCGGCAGTGTCGCCAGTAGCTGCTCCCAGCCGGCTTCGGTCGTGTTCTTCTGTCCCGGCTGTGCACTCGCGACCGTTGCTTTTCCGTGATTACGCCCGTTGCCCGTTCAGGGTTGTCACTTCCCGTTTGTATGGGAGTTGCCCGATTAGGGTCGGATGTTCCCCGTTCAGGTTGAGCTTGGGCAGATGTTGCTTGAAGGTCGCGTATCTGCCCCACATGGAAACGCTGGATATTCTGAGCAGACTCACGTTCCTGCGCACGCGCGACTTCCGACGCCTGCAGCCTGGCTGCCAACGCGGCCAGGTCCTGCTGGGCCTGCCCGGCCCGGGCGGCCATCTCGGCGGCGTGCCTCGCGTCGGCTTCAGCCAGCTGCCGGCGGATGTATTCCGCGGCGGCTGCCTCCACACGATCACGCTCGGCCCGCGCGGCCTCAAGACGAGCAGCTTCGACATCGGCCTCGGCCGTCAGGGACAGCGAGGCGGCCTGGGACGCCTGGGCGAAGACCTCATGCAGGTGTCGCTCAAGCTCCTGGGCCCGGCGCTCGGCTTCGCGCGCCTCCCGTTGGGCTTCGGCCAGAGCAAGCTCGGCTTCGGCATCCCGGCTGGGATCCTTCCCGGTCGACACAGCTTCGCGAAGCTTCGACAGCTCGGCACCAAGCTGCTGGACCTGGTGAAAGGTCGACACCGCCATCTCCGCCATCCCCGACTGGGCCGACAGGCTTGTCCGTCAGGACCGG